TAGAACGCACACACTAGTAGAAACATTGTTAGAGAGGATAAGACACTTAGAACAAACATACTAGTACAAACATTGTTACAGATGATAAGGCACATAGAACAACATACTAGTAGAAACATTGTTAGAGAGGATAAGACACTTAGAACAAACATACTAGTACAAACATTGTTAGAGAGGATAAGGCACTTAGAACAAACATTGTTAGAGATAATAAGGCATTTAGAACGCACACACTAGTAGAAACATTGTTAGAGAGGATAAGACACTTAGAACAAACATACTAGTACAAACATTGTTACAGAGGATAAGGCACTTAGAACAAACATTGTTAGAGATAATAAGGCATTTAGAACGCACACACTAGTAGAAACATTGTTAGAGAGGATAAGACACTTAGAACAAACATACTAGTACAAACATTGTTAGAGAGGATAAGGCATTTAGAACGCACACACTAGTGGAACAATCATTAGAGATAACCGAACATTGCAACAAAATTTAAAAAGGGAACACACTGAACCCAAACATAACTTGTTTGACTATTATTACATATCCACGGCCATAAGGTGCATAACGTTTTTTCCCCCCTGCAACAATGGGATGCAAACCGTGAACCCTCGAATCGACAGTCTGGCATACTAGCCATACGTCACATCCGGCCTTCTAAGCCTACATACATTTTCTCATATATTGCTAAATAATTCAAGATAAACACATAATTTATTTAACATGCATAAAAGCCGGAAGATTCACGTTTACGAAACCGACACACGTAGTTTACGGTGAAATGATACATTAATCTAGTCTTACATAATATTAATCATATTTCATTCAAAGATAAGTGCGACGAAATACGTTTCTTCACTTAGAACATCATAAAATCATCTAATTCTTCTTCATTGTACTTTATTTCGTGACTGAAGTAAGATAAGTTTCTTATATTAGTTTTCAGTTTTTTATCTTGCCCTATTAATCGGCACAAGTCATTTTTACACAAAGTAACTTAAGTTCGAATCCCTGTCACACCAAACATGCTCGCCCTTTCAGCCGTGGGGGCGTTATAATGTGACGGTCAATCCCACTATTCGTTGGTAAAAGAGTAGCCCAAGAGTTAGCGGTGAGTGGTGATGACTAGCTGTCTTCCCTCTAGTTTTACACTGTTAAATTAGGGACGGCTAGCGCAAATAGCCCTCGTGTAGCTTTGCGCGAAATTCAAAAACAAACAAACAAACAAGTATGAACTTTACTGACCTTTTTTACTATCCATTGAAATTTCCTCGCCATCTTCTCGACGCCACGTAACTTCCGGTTCCGGGGATCCAGAAGCTATACACTTGAGACTTACATTCTCTCCTTCTCTTACGTCAGTGTCTTTACTCGTCACTGATTCGTCAATTTGAGGAGGCACTATGACATACGCATAAGAAACAGAGTAACAATAATTTCAATTTCTTAAGATTTTCTATAGTTATTTGTATCTAGTTAGGATCTTGCGATATCTGTAAAAAAAACACATATATATTAAAGAAAATACAAACAAAAGTGATGATATGAATAGTATAATCGGCGCAACATCAAAATAAAATCAGATTGAGGGCGCTATCTAAGCCTTGTCTTACAGAAGCAGAGAAAGTACATAACATCATTAAAAAACAGATTATTTAAAATCTTATTTGAAAAGTTATAGAACGTCTTCCTTGAACAGCTCGTATTTCATTGACAAAATTCACGATTTTGTTTTCCTAAATTCAAAACTTATCTTTACAAAACGACACCATTTTTGTCTTTCTGGTTCTCTATATCTTTACCAAACAACACTATTTCTGTCTTTCTGGTTCTCTATATCTTTACCAAATAACACTATTTCTGTCTTTCTGGTTCTCTATATCTTCAC